ACTTTATAAGTATCAGAAGTTTGACATATTTTCTTTGACGGAAAATTTTCAGCGCCTCGTCAAATCGCGAGGAACGCAAACTTTCAGACTACCCACGGCTCTATCAACAAGTCACCTACTATTACTACCGCTCCATCGAATAAAGATTCCGAGAAACATTTGTTGCTAAACTTATACTTACATATGTATATTTATATGTAAAATCTCGCATTACGAGTAAAAACTTAACAGCAAGAAAATGTGCTTACTTTAAACCAGTACGGTAAAATCATAGTCACAAACAAGGTCCATGGAAAACTGGCGGACATGATGTCACGTAGAAATGATCGAAGCACCAAAATGTCAACAGGTTATTCATGTGAGCGTGTGTAATGAGTTCATTTGTCCGTATTTTTAACGTCTTAGGTCACAAAAGCCAACACACGTGTTAACATCGTCATATGAAAGCCGAAATTTGACATAAAAACTAGTAGATAGCCCAAAATTTAGGTTCCATCAACCACTTTCCACTTCTATCATCAAAACAGCTTCAAGATATTCCCAGTTTTAGAATGACAATTACAAGTGTGTAATTCAAAGTCGAATTAAATCAATACGTGTTAAAAGATGCAGTGATTTGCTGAAACACACATACACACCTATATAACATAATGTGTCATGTCCTCATTGCTTGCTGCATCAGTATCATATGTACCTATCACCCAAGTACACGCGTCGAAAAAAAGGCGAACGTAATGTCACTAGGATTTCCAAGTATTCGAATAATCATTTGATTGAAGCAGTAAAATGTCAGTGGTGTATTTATGTGTGCGTGTACTTGCAACAACATAATGTATGAAGTGTTTGACGCATAAGTCACGCGACAAATGTCCATCGTGTTCATGTGTGTGTATTCTACTTGTAAGCCTATAGTAGCCAGGTGCCACAGGCGTAGTTTCACGAGACTGCCTTTTTTAATGTCCTTGGTATCACCTACATATATTTACGTACCAATAAATTACGTGAGATGATTAAGGGGGGGAGGGGGTAGACTCAAATCTCATTTTATCTTATTTGGACAAAGGGGGGTCTCGGCAAATATCACGTATTTTTTTTTCTTATTGACACAAAAAAAAATATACTATTTTAGTCCAGTCCAGATTGTACATGCTCAAGATTAAATTGTCCACGCATTTGTGTTAGGTATACGTATAGTATTCTATTGTTACATTTTTATTACACTTATAACTCTCAGCAATATTGATTACTAGTCTCAACTAATCGTAAATAAAAGCACGGAGCAAATTTTTTTGTTTTTACAATAACAATCCAAAGCGTTTACGTGAAAAACCAACATTTTGAAAAATCTCACTGTTGAATAAAATCTCATGAAATCTCACCTTACTGAAAATTAAAAAAAATACCTCACGTAATTTATGGACTTATGTGTAACAGTAAATAAACTACACAATACGCAAACGTATTCGTTTTATTACCAAACTGAGTTATCTTGTTTATTTACTGAATAAACTAACTTATTTAAAAAAAAATGTATATTTAAAACCTTATTTAAATAATATCGCAGTCAATTTTTACATGAAGTTTTTAAAATAAATCAATAATTAAGTCGAATCTGCGCAAACGCAAACCGTAATGCCTTAATCATTTTTGGTCTATTTTTTGATTGACTTGTATTTATTTATCTGCAAAAGTACCTATTTAATGTAATTTATTTTTTTAAGATATGCTCCATATCTCTTCATATATACTTATTCATTCCGTTTTTAATTCATATTATTGATTATTGATTTTTTCGAATATGTGTTTTATTTTATTATAGAGTACCTAAATAGAATCCGCAAGTTAAGTCCTTAAGGTTTGAACATTATAGTATCATTTATTTCCCCAAAAAGAGTATTAGGTATTTAATTTTTAAAAATATCTCTGAACTCAGACCTATTCGTTTCATTTGTAAATTGAAAATAATATTATTATAGTGTAACTCGCAAAGAACATTACTTATAATATAAATATGAAAGTTTGTATGTATTGTATCTCTTGTTTGATTATTACTCCTTCACGTCAAAACGTCTGAATCCCTTCAGCCTTCAGGGACCGAGGGAACATGGATTTCATTTCTAAACTTAGTCATATCATTTATTATTAGGCAAAGTATTTTATTATATTTATAGTGTAGCAATACGTCTTACCACATAACTCGCGAATTGATAAATCAATTGTCTAGTTATTGATTGTCTCCGTAATTGGCCAAACAAAAGAGGACTGGTTATACCGTCCACATGAGAAAGGCCAGGTGGACAACGCGACTACTGCAATGGAGGCTTCGTTTGAATACCAGTCCGCGTCCCAAAAGTTGGGTGGACAATATCAGACGACACGGAGGACTGGACTGGATGCGAAAGGCACAAGCCAAAAATCGGTTGGAGGGAACTCGATAAAGTCTACGTCCAGAAGAGGACAATAAATGGCAATTATGATGAGTAGACTCGGAGTTATGGTAAACTCAGCAAGCGCCTACCACAAAGATGCTTCAATATTTTCGTTTCATTCGGAAATTGAGTCGTAACTATTTTTTTTTTTCGAAATGTGTTTTTTATACCAGGTTGTATTAAAAAATATTTTGTACCTATGCGAAAATTAAGGTCCGCAAAAATAAATAAATTTTGTTTAATTTCCAAATTCAATATTTTCTATAATTATGATAGTCATTAAGGAAGTACCCAATTACGGACTAGTTGTATCTGTTTCTTTTTGTTTCAAAAGGTGTGTTTTTATACCAGGTAGCATTAAAAAACATTTCGTACTATGCGAAAATTAGGGACCGCAATACTAAATCGAATTTTTTGTTTAATTTGCAAATTCAATATTTTCTATAATTATGATAATAATTAAGTTTCATTAAGCCGCCTAGTAAAAGCGGAAATCATTTTCATTTAATTTATAAATTTAAATTTATAAACTAAATTGACTCATATCAGTTATTTTTCCAAAACTATATTTTATAAGATATCCAAAAAATGACTCATAAAAAATTTTTACCGAAAAAAATAAATTGTTAAGCCGAATTATGAGCAACTGCGCAAACGCACGCAGTAACTGTTTGAAATAGTTTTGTTTCATATCGAATTGATTCATATTACTTATTTTTTATTTCCGAAAAAGTATTTTATTGTTTATAAGTATTTTATATTTGTATAGTATGCGAAATTAAGATCTTATTTTGGTAAACTGCGCCAGAATAAACTTTAACGGCTAATTTCCGTTTCATTTGGAAACTGAGTAATGTTACGAATTGTTATTTTCTAGAAAATGTATTTAAATTTTCATACGTCATACGCTTAACCTTTTGATTTTGAATGCACCGATAAGAGACACAATAGAAAATACATTGTGTCACGCGTGTATCCGCATTTAGACACGACGGGTTAAGGGCCAAGTTACACGCATGTCAAGTCGTAGTATAATTTATTTTCTCGAAAACATATTAAATTTTTTTTTTATAATAATATCAAAAAAGTCGATTCAAAGAATATTTGAAAATATTTTTAAAAAAATCTTTAAATTGTATTATATGCGGATGCGAAACTGCGCAAACGCAAACCGTAACGGGTCGAGTCACAATATTGATTTTCCCGAAAAAATACTTCATTCCGATAAAAAAAAAGTCTTAAAGACCATTTTCGTCGCAAAAATGTGGTTTGATAAAATCTATAATATATATAAAAGAAAGTCGTGTTAGTTACACCACTTATAACTCAAGAACGGCAGAATAGATTTGGCTGAAAATTAGTAGGGAGGTAGCTTAGAGCCAGGAGACCGACATAGGATACTTTTTAACCAATACTTCTTTTTTACTTTTTACCGAAAATCACGAACGGGGACGGGAAAAAATGGGATTACGCGTACGAAGTCGCGGGCAGAAGCTAGTTTTACATAATTGGTTCCATACAAGTGGTTTAGTTGGTATGGAAGATATTGTATGTGGTAGTGATCCGTTTTGACCAGGTCTAATAGACAAAGGAGACATTTTATCAACATCTTTTTAAGGGTTAATTAAGGTACACAGGGTAAAATAAAGTAAATTGTTAACACCAATAAAACAATTTTTATTGATTCATTTTTCTTTATTTGTTTGCGCTAGATAGCAATGCAGCCATGCACATATATAATAAAAATTTGCAATAAGCACATTAATTAAACAAATGCATTTGCAACAAATATAGCAAATAATAAAAAAGAAATTTCGCATGTGAAGAACATTGTCAAATCGCAAATAAGCTGTAAAACTGACATGTATAAAATATTGCCTTTTAACTCTCCTAAATCCACTCCGCTATCTTATTATTTAGTATTCATAAAAGATAATATATTCCCTTTTATTCTTTAACTGGTCTAAAATGCTTAGTCAAAGAAAGAATTGAATCCCAGTATCTTGCCAATAAATATTTTGTACCGTTAGACCAATCCTCGAATCACGGAGTGATTTGATCCGTACATTTAAAAAGTTTCTACCATACTTTCAAACTCCTGTGGGTAGTATATGAAATGATTTAATATTCAAATCTTATTCCTAGACTAACAATTGAGATGTGTGGAATATATTCCCCGGCTTTTGCAGTATCATTGCTACACAAAAGCCCACAAGATGCACAATTAGGAAGTTAGTAATTGGAAATATTCATCTGCCTGACATAGATTAATGTTAGCACTGAGATACAAAGGAACTTCAATCACCTGCAATCTCAACTTGCATCTACACAAATTATATCATATCATCTTATCTTAATAAATATTTCTGATAAGATCAAGATGAGTACTCCTTAATATGAGTGCATAAGCACAACTTTTGTAACTTGACGTTACTTAAATCTTGATACGACAATTATCTCACGAAAATAGGCAGTAGAAAAATATAAATATGTAAATAAAAAACAATATTCAACAGTGCAGTGCAATCAACAATCGTTTTCACCATCTGTTCTATTTTATAAGAAACTTACCGCTTAGTCCATCGGCCGCAGAAAAGTTTGAAAAACACCGTATTGTTAGTACGGCAAAACAGAAAATATTTCACTTTTATAAAAGTTTTAATTATTGAGGGTACTGTTAGACTTTATTTTGTAAACAATTATTCTGAAGGTTATACCTAAGCTAGCTCCAGCTCACGACCACCGCGCAAGCAAGCCAGCGAAGAAGTGAATTGTGAAATTCGCTCTAGTCTGTGGCTGTTGTGAGAAATGGCAGGAGTTAAATGTCAAAGTGAACGAATGACGTCAATGGGTGTAGTGATGCCTGCATGTAACTATCGATAGTAATGTCAAATTTGTTTTCGATATTTTTTTCTTCACTTGTAATATTTTCGATATTTTGCTAAATTACGTAATACATATATTTATCTAAGACTTAAAAGTATGCTTTGATATACTATCAACTTAAAACCATTTTGTATAGTTTTTGAAATAATTCAATTTTGTATAATATTAGTAAATAACTACCCACCTATTCTAAATCTATGTTTTTTATAAATTATTGAACAGGTTTTATTATCATTAGTTTGCCTCCTTTGATTGTATAGGTTATTTACTTCAAGTATAGGTTATGCCGTACCATAGTTACTAAGATCATAATTTATAAAATCATGGTTATTAATAGCGGAAACAATAATAATACATTTTTTTGCTTACAGATTTCGTTTCTTGTTAATGAATCACGCTGAGCCAACATCTCGCATGTTGTAAGCGATAGTGTGGCCAGACGGAGCACGCTTACCCATAAGCAACCTATTTACTGGAGACTTGAAGACTACAATTTGCACCCTTATTGTGGGTGAAACATTTACTCTATAAAGATGACGTTTTATTTTTGGTTTGGTAGTACTATGCTGAAAATATATTATTAGGTTATTAAATGGTCTCCACTGGTACTGCGGGTGTTCATAAGCGGAGGTGATCACTTACCATCTGATGATCCGTCTACTCGTTTGCCTCCTATTCCATAAAAACGACGAAATGAACAGGGAAGTTCTGTAATCCCCTGCACACTTGTCTTCTCTATGCTCAAAGTTTTGGGGCCTGACCTCCACAAAGCGCATCACTGTTGAAGAGCCTCTTGGCAAGCTTCTTAATGGTTTGAGGGCTTCAGCCTGGTGCTTAGCTGAGCCATTGCAAAGAAGAAGATAAATTATTATTTTTTTTTTACTAAAAATGTCTGAAACACTCCAGGCCCCTAAAGGAAAAAGATATATTACTCATTGTAATAAATTCATTTCATCATTCAATGTCATGAACATTCTTATAACATGACGATCAACTTATGGAGTATCGTACTATTATTTGATGTCAATTAATTTATATATACATATATAAAACTATTTAACTATAAGGGTATGTATCAATTATCTTTATATCTATAAACCGATATAGTAACAGTGTAATGTAACATTCAAGCGGTACCTCGATACTTCATAATCGACCTGAATTGCCCAGCCCTAAACTCAAACGTCATGACTCACCACGGCACAGATTATACACAAAGCACAGACTCACATACACCACACTTAACTAAATGGCTAATATTATATGTAGTACAGCGCCACCTGTTGTTTACTCGTAGAACTTGTTAAAAACGATACCTTGAAAGTGACTTGATACGTGTGATGTCCCGTTCTCGCGTCAACTACACTAGCGCCAGTAAACATAGTTCTACAATTTTCCGTGGCGCTAATATCGCACCGGAAAGTTTTAATTTTGTTATTTATTTCTTTTTTGAATTGTATGTATGTGGCGAAATGTGCCCGGTATGTGGCAATAGGCTCACCCCCTATTACATGGGACTCGTAAAATAAATAGTGAAAAGTGGGCATTAAGTGCACCGAAATGTGCGCCTTTGCCTACCCCGACGGGGATAAAAGGCGTGATGTTATGTTATATTATTTATCATTAGCTTAAATAACGAGTATAATGCTGCTCCTCAGATTAATAATAGTGCAAGTCTCATACAAACTTTCAACGTATTAGTTTTAATTATGATTTTTAAACAACTTTTATTAATTAATTTAAAGTTGTGCTGAAATTAAGAAAAATCTTTGAACGTTTTAATTTTATAGGTATAAGAACGAGTTATAAACTATATATGTCAGTCCCTATTTGCTTTTTGATTTTTTAAGACTATTTTCCTTACTACTAAATCTAACCAATACCTAGGGTAAATAGTTTGATTAGGTACCTACCTACTTAAGGCGTGATTGATTATCAATATCATTTAAATGAATAAGCTACCTAAATGCTACGTAGAAAATGTTTAAGACTGAGCGACTAACAAGGGCTCTTGTGATCGATTCCCGCGTTAGATGAAGTACTATTAGGATTTTTCATGGATTTTGCTAATATTTTCTGTAATAAGCTTTCTGGAATTGTGTCCATAATTAGTACCTACATAGGTAAGTACATAATTGTTATAAGTAAGCAACATTGTTAGACAACACGCGTGTAGTACATGCTGTTTAACGTATGTGTGGTTTGTACCTGGGGTAGACGGAGACAGTGGATTATCACAAAACACGAATAATTCATACGTCTTTCTAAAGTAGAATGCATTTTTAAGTTAGACTCTTAGACAGTACAAATCGTATTATGGATGGTAGATAGGCGTAACACAGACAGTACATTTATCACTTACCAGTTAAGTAAGTGCTGGACATTGAAATGCATCACTATAGTAGGTACCTTTTTTTTTTTTTGATTACGGGGGAAACCTTCAAAAGGCGCCCAGCCTTTTTGGGGATAAAAGACTAGGGAGTGTGGGATTTTTACCTCACTAAAACCACCCCGGTGGCCACCCTCAACACCTGAATGGAGGAACCGGGTCCTCTAAAAGAGACCTGCTCCGGCGCCTCTACTGTACAACGCCTGTTACGACACATCCCTAGGGAGACGGGTTTCTCCTTTAACCCTTGCTGTGTAGCCTTGCGGCCACTGTGCCACCGTCTTCCCTGAGACCACAGGGTGGGCACCTAGAGTCCCCACTCTACGTACCCGTGGCCCCAACTATAGTAGGTACCTATCTACCCAAGGGCATGTTAAGTTGTGTAGCGGCACATCTTATAACGTACACCTAGTCCGCAGTCTGCTCGTATTCATCATCATCGACTATAAATGCCCACTGTTGAGCAAAGCCTCTTCTCACACGCAGAAGTTTTGAGCTTTAATCAACACGCTTGCTCAATGCAGGTTGGCGATTTCACACTTACCTGTAATTAGAGATTATAACCAAGTTTGCTCATGATGTTTTCCTTCACCGTTTGTCAGTGTATTTTAAGTCGGAAGACGTCACATTGGTACTTGCCGTTGGTACTGAAGTTGCAGTCGAACCCGCACCCACATGCATGAGAAGCGAGCGTCTCAAACCTCCGGGGCACCAAAACATAGTATACTTATAAGATTGGTATTGTACTCAGGATCTAATCAAACACTAAATAGTCTACTAATTATACTGACATCACTCCTTGATGGACCCATTTAATAATCCACATGTTCATATTATATTTCTACCTACAACCGTGAAAGGTTGGTTGGGGTCAACGTACTTACCTAATTACAGAGAGCTCGTTAAAGAGATTCCAAAAAACGGGCAGCCACGACCACGAAAATACTTAGGTCCTCATAACCAACCTTTGTGTATATGATTAAGTGTGTGAACGTGGGAAAAACAAAAGAACTAGGTACCTACCTACATAAGTTAAGTAGTTAAGTAATAAGTATTTAATTTTACTAGTAACTGGGCTGGTCTGTTTCTCAATCAGAGGTTTAGCATTGCCATACAAAGAGGCAATGCTGCCAGCCTTCAGGTTACTATCCCAGTTGACATCGACGCGTAGAAATTTTTTGATGCTCTTTGTAAATAGTTATTTTTAGATTTCCTTTTTGTTCTTTCTATGTAGGTTTTAAAGGTTTTAAGTTTGAAATGATATTAGCAATAGATAAAAAATACCTTTAAAATGTTACTAGTTATTAGTAGTAGGTATTATAAATGCGAAAATTTGTGAAGATGTATGTCTCCGTGTATGCGTTTGTTACTCTTTCACGTCAAAACGGCTGAGTGGATCGGAACGAAATTAAGAACAGGGATAGATTATGGTCTGGAATAATACATAAAAAAATAAGCCTTTATTATGAGGTTACAAAACAATTTAGTCTCTATTACTACACTATACATCAGTAGTTTTATCCCCAGCTTGCCCTTCGACATAGGCCTCCTCCAAAGATTTCCAGTTTTCCCTTTCCCTCACAATTCTCATCCACTCTGGTACAGCAGTTTTCCTTAGGTCATCTTCCCACCGTTTTGGTTGTCGCATGGGCAGGGCATATGATAAGAGAGAGGAATATGAAATGGACAAAGACAATATTAGAATGGTATCTCAGAGATGGGAAAAGGAGCAAAATAACACATTTACTACTTTTTAATCCACGGGAAAGCGGGCGAAGTCGCTGGCAGAGGCTAGTATACCTGTAGTCGTACGTAAGTTGGCGTTTTGTGGTTTCTATGTGGCGTCAGACGGATGTACCACTTGTTATCCAATGTATGTTGCTCTTTTTTCAGTATCTACCTACCTAGATAGATATGAATGCTACATGTTTTAAATGGTGCTGACAATCTACCATTTGCTTTTATAAGTTTTACGAATGGTCCAGAACTATTGAAATATCTGCTTTAGGAAGCTCGCGTCGCTGATGTCGACGCAATAAAACCTGTGAGCAGTGCGAAACGATCTTGTTGAGTACCGTGAAGGATAAATTGAAAAAGACGATCTACTCACCTGAACCATTAGAGAAAAGCTCTCAGTTTAGGGTAGTACCTGCCTATACGTAACGTGGGTACCAACGTCTTATGATAGTAAACCATAGATAAGAGTGAATAAATTTTGTTTCAAGATAGGAAAAACTAGTTGAAGCTTTGGCCCAACAGAGGGACAGTGATGGCTAAAAAATGTTACAAATATTGGCCTAACAGAAAGACGCATTATTCTACCGATTATAGATGTATTCATATTTATATGGATCTACCATTTCAGTTTGTGGCGTCGAACTATTTACTATACGTGGGAGTGGGACCCACTGTTAGAATTGGTAGGTACTGCCTTTAAACATGCATTTTATTTAAAAGTCCGCCTCTGAATTCTTGGCGTTTCAAAATGGTTCCAGT